GGTTTTAAGGCTCTATCTCTCATAGTTTCCGAGATAATCGCGAAAAACGGTGCTACAGTATTTTAATGATGAACACTCCAGGAGATCCTCTGTTTTTGTTTTTGACCTGATAGTACATAACCTCATAACCAGATAACCCCCGCGCTGGTCTTCCGTATGACGTCATATGGTATAAGGAATTTCACCTTTGTGAATCAAATATCCACTCTCAAACAATAAAAGTCATAGATTTGTATTCCACAAACGATTTGCAATCGATTGAAAAAAAAAAGTGGAAAATTTTTTTTTTCCAAATTTGTTGGCTAGATTCATACATGATCTTGATCAAATAATTAAAAAAGATCCATTGACTCTTAAACGCTAAAAAGGGATGTACAATGACCTGCTAACGAATTACAAACGATTCTATCGGGTCATTTGTTTGAAAATAGTTTTTTGTCGGCTAATAGGATACTGCTCCCTCGCCCTAAATGTTTCACGTAGTAAATGGAGCACCCCCTACGGTCTTTAAGATACCATATATGAATTAAACTGTAGCTAGAAGATGGATGGAAATAATCTTATTCATAGGAGTATATTATCAACTTTTCTGGTTTATTTATAAACATTTACATACAATATTAAAATACTTCATCAATTATTCAACGGTTGCATAAGAAATGATCGATTACCGGGTTTAATGTTGACTTAACATATAAAGAATATTGTTCCACTTTGCTCCACCTCTCCTAGATAACTTTAACTTAGTGGACGTCCGCGTGGAAAAAGTCCACTTTGTTGAGACTGGTTTCCCAATTTCCGTATTAATTTGGCTTTTCATTCTCTCTAGCGATCGAATTTTTCAGAATATACATAACTCCATATCGACAAAGCGGGTCCTTTTCATGTGAACGGCCACACGTATAATTTTTCCACTTGACAATCTAAACGATCACTACATTGATTGCTCAGAACGTGGTGATCTCAAATAAAAATATACATATTTTTCGGATACACGTAGGTTGAAATCAGATAATTGTAAAAATCGTAGAAATTCGTTCGAATATTCCGTAATCTTACTCGTAATCATTAAAGGCACTCATTATTTCCACCAACGATAATATTCGCGGATATCACTCAATGACTTTTTCATTTTCAAATTCAACAATTGGTTTTTATATCAAATCCGCCAGCGGAATTGCTCCTGGTATCGCCGTTTTTGGAATCAAATACACTACTTCCACGTTGTGTATGGAAAAATATGATTATTTATGAATTCGTATAACAGTATTCCTTGAGTTTTTCACTCTCACCATAATCATTCCTTTTTCTCCCACTAGACACTGGAAAAATACTATCATATTTGCACAATGATTATCTTCTCTAATAGTTTAACTACAAATGTTGATTGTTATAGTTAAAGATAATGAGCAGTTCTTCATTAGTTCTTCTCTAATAAACATGTGCCCTCATTTTCCAATCATATACTGCACTAAAATTTCCTCTATTCATGGGAGGAAATCCTACTAGATGGCCAATATTTCTTCGATATTCTTCCTGATTATTTAGTCACTCTTATTATCTTGCTTTTTTTTCGCTGTCCCCTATGGAAATTACATTTTTCAGTAAGAAAAAGTTACTAGGGTCTCCTCAATAACTTTAATCCCTCTATAATACTGAGTTCACTTGCACTCGATCCATAGTCTATATGTGAAGATCTTCGTGATATCCATCAACTTCATTATACATTTTCCTAATGGAGTCTTTGGGGTTAGTGATTGGCGCAGGCGCAACCCTGTTGACACCCGGAGGAACTCCATTAGACAAATAACCAACGCCGTTTTGTAGATAATGTTGTGCACCATTCGCTGCACCATTCATATGTACATGATTGCTATTTTGCGGAGCACCATTTCGCATGATACCATTGGCTATTCTTGCACCCTCTGTGACAGCTTCACGGACTTTTACACTGACCCCATTTTTCGATCCATGATGGGCAAATCCGTTGGGTAGTTTAATCGCTAGAACGAGAAAATTTGCTTCGATTATTCGCCGCCCATTTCTTCTTACAAGATCTATGTGCGCGCTCTCGCGCGCGCTGATCTATTCATTTGTTGAAATGAAGAAATGGAATTCATTGAATTTCATTTTCTCGTGAATACCTTATAAATATTGATAATGAATCAAAGAGAATTCGACTAATGATTGAAGTGAATAGCGAAGTAGAGTAAAAGAATCTATAAAGAATTTTTCATTTTCAATTAATTATCTTCAATTTTTTAAAATAATCGGTCTCCATAAAAGGACAGAATTTATTAATTTCACCGATGATATATATACATGTGAAATATATATATTATATATGACGTGAAAAAAAATTTACCACTGAAGAATTTGAAAATGCCGCGTGTTTTTTTTTGTGAATAACTTCGTGTCACATATTGACCAATCAGAATTAAGGATTAGCGGTCAGGCAGTTTCGAGATATTTCGATATAAAACAACTTCACGTTTCTTTC